TTTAAACCATTTAGTCTTTTATTTGTTCTTTTTTACTGGCAGTTTGAGTCATCTTCCAAATAAACAGGACTGGAACAATGCTTAAACAATATTTTTTCAGTTAAATAATTAAATATACCTTTGATTCTTACTTTGAAATTCTGTGGCATCCATATTCTACAAAATCATAGGCAATATTTGTGACTCCATCCAGTACTTACCAGGGAAAAGTAGGAGTGAGATTCAATGTCAATGGGATTATTTTTTTATATTATAACAAATAATTATTTTTAGGCTACATTTGACAAAATAGAACTATATTTGGATACACTGTGCATTATACTTTTGAGTTCATCTACTTGGTACTGACATGAATGTATGTATTTGTTCAGATAATGGCTTTGGACTTGGTTTGCAAAACTCTTTGAAATGTCCAGATTTCATGTTGATTCTGTCAACAATCATCTGTAAACTATGATTTTAGTCTGGCACTTATCTAGTGCAGTTTTGTTCAGCCCACCTCCATACCACTCTGTGACAGACTCACTGTATTTTGAGCACATGGATTAAAAGTGAACTAGGTGTCTGTTTGGGTATTCAAAATTAAATCCTCCCATGCACAACCATGAACACACATGTACAGTAATAAATGTAGAAAACCATAACCTACCTTTCTCTTAGAAGTGTTCCAAGATCAATTTTTAGGTTTTCCATGCTTTTATATACATTTATACACCTGTTGATGACCAGAAAATACGTTAGAAGATAGACCATGGGAGAAAAAGAGAGATTATATCAAATCTTAGAATTCCATCAAAGAAATGATTTATACTGGATGCTATTTTCCTCAGGAACTCAGTATTAAGAAATTTACTCAAGGCTGAAATATGCTAGGAGAATCTTTGAAGAAAGAAAAATGTTATCAATGTTATAACTACTATCATAAAAAGTATATTTATATGTAGCTTTATACAAACTATTTTAAAAAATATGCAGATTAATGCAGTTCAAAAGTCTTTTTATTTATAACTAGGATATTTTATTGCAGAATAAGAATAATTTGAAAGAGTAGTTAATGTATTTTTCTAAGCATCAAAACATTACTTGATAACTAAGTCTCATAAAATGTAATTATAGAAAATTTAAGTACCTAGATGTTTCCTTCTTATGCCTTTAAGAAAGCATCCTCAACATGACCCATAGAAACCTGTTACCTCTAACCAAATCAGGTGCCATTGGAGAGAGAGTGAAATTAGCACTTCATTTTTGGTGGTTTGCTTGTTTGTTTTTGTCTGAAGCAACACGAGGAAAAAACTGAAACAGAAAGAACTTCCAGATAAGGACATGTGATAAAAGACAAGATATTGACATTGACAAAGTCCTTTTTTCACTTTATGCATCTTTTGTAATACCCACTCTTGCATTTGCTTTTTTACATGTATCTTTTTCTTCTTCCTGTCTGATGTGTGATCTAATATTTGATACACAGAAAATAAGTAATTTTAGGGTAAGGAAAAGCCATGTTGTCCTTGGGTTTAAGGATAAAGACACATAGGGAAATCATAGGAGCTGAGAACTCCCTTGTAAATGAACAAGGTGTCTGCCAAATTAGCTAAGATGCTCTTATAATCTAGTCTGATACAGAATACATCTTTTTGGAACAATGACTTCTGTGTTTAATTATTCTTCATAAGACATTCTCTTCAAAAACTTGACATTATTTGTTGTGAAGATACTACATTTGTGCCCAGGGACAAGTTACTGTGTGGGATTAGTTTATCACACAAAAGGTGTCAGGAAAAGATTTCACACTAGGCAATGTCCTCATGTAAATTTGATCCTTTGTGATAACTTATTATGATGGAATCCTAAAAACAGTGTCTGCTAGAGTTTGTGGGCACAGAAAGAAGAACACTGTGCTTCAAAGTCAATGTGTGTTCAAAGGAAAAACAGCCTGCCACATTTTTGTTTTCTATGGCAGTTCTATCTGCTACAGATAAACAAAGTTTTTCCTAACAGAGGTTATCAGTGTAGTATAATAATATTGAAATTCTTTAAGCATAAAATGTGGGTTTACTTTCCCTTTGTTCACCCTGAGGTTACAAAAACAGCAAGGACAAATTTACATTTAAAATTACTTGGCGTGAAAATTGGTATTGCTTGATTATTGGTGGATAAGTTTTATGTATCAGGGTCAAATATTTTAACATTGAAATGATTTTATCTAGGTGCACTCTAAAGCCTGACTTGGCCATTGTGCAGTCCACTGACTGTATCAGAGGCCACAGATCCTAATTCCCACTACCTAAGTCAATGCCTAAACACCAATTGCAGGCAGCTGAAATAAAAATTAAAGCTGATGCATCTGGGATGATAAATTGATCTTAATATGGTGATGCAATTTTTAATATACAGAAAAATCTACAGAATCTTTAAGTATGTTTGTCTATCAAAATCCTCTGATATCCAATTAAAAATGTGAATAGAAGGTACAGCTAATAAATTACCTAAGAATAATATTCTCAATGGTCTCTACATCTTAATAACCTCTGAGCAATCAAGGATTGGTATTACAGTATCCAGTTCTTTTTGACATACCATCTATGTGATGGGAAGCCTGGAAAATTCTCTCAGGCTTTGACCTGAGATTTCTTCTATTATATAATATATATATATATATAATATTATAATATATATTATATAATATATATATATATAATAGGATTTCTTCTATTGCAGACCCCTTACCTCTCTCAAGAATAACAACCTGACCCTCTGAAATGAAAGTGCGTAAGAATTTTGTAGGAAGTCCAGGAGCTCTTTTGAGACAAGAAGATTTTGCTAATGGAACAAATTTTCAGTGAAATAAGTGTAGAGTAAAGTTGCAATGCCTGTGCAGACATGTTTGCTGTAGCCAAGAAAATAAATAAGTGTTTGCACAGTTCAAATTCTTAGCTATCAACAATTTTGATTCCCTCACCAAAACATACACAGCATTTTCATTCTTCAAAGGAATGTTGTGATAACTGATGAGAGAGATTACAGCAATAAAATCACAGAAATGTCATGTTCACAGATAGTGAATTGAACCATGAGCAAATGTTGATACTTGAACATGTGCACACACACACACACACACACACATATATATATATATATATATATATAAACACTGAGAGGAAGAGAGATATGGGGAGAGTATTTAAAATATTTTATAGCTTCCTATCACTGAAGAGGCTGAATTTCACAAGTTGGTGGAATAACTTAATTAACAATAAAACCATAGATTGGAAATATTAAGTAATAGATTTGCAACTTGTTACTTTGTATGTAAATGCTAATAAAAATACAGTGACTATGTTAGATATTGGCTCCAATGATCATCAAAATATCCAGAAACCAAGGTGCATTTAATTCAACTAATAATATTGATCTATTGATTATTGTTAAAGTTAAATACATTGTGTTTGGAAACAAAAAAAATTAACTCGATGGCTGAAGACTGGATCTATGTTTTTAGAGAATCTGAGAAAGCAACTACAGTATCTAATTCTGATGGATAAATTTCATTCTGCATTTGGAAACTGGGAACTAACAGATTGTCCAGGGTATTAAAGGGTTTGAGCAGAATCCAAGTGCCAAATTTGGTTCAGACTAGATTAAGTCCAGCGGCTTTTATTTTATTTGGAAAATTTCACTTTCCCATCATTTAAGTTTTCTTTTGGATAATTATTTATTTATTTCTCCCATAAGTTTTAGAAAAGTGGCTTTGGACTAAAAAAAAATGCTCCTGATGATTAAGTTTTCCCAATTCCCAGTTCATAAATGTCATTGGGTAGACTTGTTATTGTCTATATTTACTTTGATCTAGACAGAAAAAAATACGGGAGGTAAAAAAAATGTTATTGTAGATCGTAGTTCAAATACTTATTTTTGACTGAAGTGCTCTTACTTTAGGAAATCGTTAAATTCCCTGAATTTTTTACTCCACTAGTAGTTGCTAAATTACATTTTTGGACAATGGAACTGGGGATTCTGGTTCCAAAATTCGGCAGCATTTATCTTCCATAGTCCTCTAGTGTTTCCCCTCTGGCCAGGAAGTTCCTGTGTCTGTGTAACCTCATTTTATTAGGGGAGGGGATGTAAAAACCTTGCATGTTCCCCCTAATCCTATCACACACTAAATCACCTCATTCATACTGACTCCACCAATGCTGCTTTCCCCATTTCCTGGGTTACTTAGCAACAACCATCCCTCCCTTTTCCACTCCCCCATCCAACCTTTCATTTTTTTCCCCCTTTGCAATCACGATTTCCACGCTGTTTAGAAAAATGAGGATGCTCAGCAGCATAGGGCAAGCTTTTCTTCCAAACCTCCTATTTTATGCCTGCCAAATCCTTCTCGGCTCCAAAATGAAAATCCAGGCTGCCTGCATATGTGTAATCAAAGGTTAAAAAGCACCCTGGCTGACACCACGCATGTGTTAATCTGTGCTGCAGCAGAGTGCATCATTTCCACTTTGACCTCAGAGTTAATCTGCATTCAGGCAGAAGCTCCATTGCTTTATTCTTTCCTTTCCCCCCCCCATTTACTCTTTGTTGTTTTATTGGATTTTGCTGCATGTGTGTCAGCAGTTCCGTAAATATGTATGTGCTCCTTTCCTTGACTGTTTTTATTCTGTGTCTGTGATTTTCACTTTTTGTTTGGGTTTCATTTTTTTTTTTTTCCTTTTCTCCCAATTATATTATTTCCCTAGATTTGGAAGCTGCTGCCTGCTGCCTGAGCTGACGTTTTCTGATTATATCTGCAAAAGGCTTGTGCAGATCTAATTTTTCTCCCCCTGCATATTAATTCCCGGCAGCTGGGTGCAATGTCTCATCCCACTGACGGGACCTGGTAGGGAGGAGGGAGAACTACTACCAAAAAAAAAANCCGGGTCCCTCCCAGCCCCCCGGTCCCTCCCAGCCCCCGGCCCCGCGCATCCCTCCCGTGCGGCGGCCGTGGCTCCCCAGGGGATGCGATGGTTCTCGGGCTGGCGTCAGCTGAATGTTTCCAGCAGCATTTCACAGCCGACACCTTCTGCTGGCACACACCCTGCACAGGCTGCAAGGGTGCACCATGCACCCAGATGGAGAGGGGTGAAAACCCCAGCAGCGCAGGGAGCAGGAGCTCCTATGGGGATGAGCATGGAGTGGAGGGCGGGAGAACTGCTGCAGTGCCAAGCTTTGCGCTGGAACAGACATTCCTGCAAAAATGTGTGGACTGTGCATTTAACAGGTTAGATGAGAAAATGTCTCTGCACGACAGTGTGTGGCCTTTCAAATGGCAACAGAGCTCTCCCCAGGGCTGCACAAGCCATGGTGTCACCGATACCTTCCACAAGTTAGTGCCTGCTCTCCTTGCTACCACTGATGCTGGACTCACACACTCTCACACACTCCTCAAATTTACTTTATTTTCCTTCCTTCCTTCCTTTTACCCTGACACTACCATACCAAAATGTGTGTTCTTTCTGTTTGTTTGGTTTTGTGGGTTTTTTTTGTTTAAGAAAAATCAGACTTCATACCTCCAATGGTAGGATCTTAGTTTTAAGGTAAATAAAAGGCCAAAATGATAGGATGAGGAAATGAAAAGTTGCTAGGTTTTCAAATAACTTTATCACACATAAAGAACTTTGTAAAGAATTCCTGTGAGAAGAAACTAAAAATGGTGGAATATTGAGTAGAAAATGAGATAAAACTCAATGAGCCTACTATGAGGGTACTTTGGGAGTAAGATAGGTGTGAGGTATTTTTGACCCTTATAGAACCAGTTATGGTTGCTACCTGAATACAAAAATGGAAAATTCAACTTTTACAGGATTTTATAACACAGGCTTTCATATTATTTAGACATAAAACTTCCACTAAAATAATCTCAGATACTTATTTTAGCACACTTCTTTCTTTTCACTCATCTTTGAGAAAAGCATTGCCTGAGAGGAATTTAGCCAAAATTATTTCATCAGCTTTATAAGAAACCCTTCATAATGCAACTTAAAGTTTTATCTCAGCAAAAACTTCTGTATTCTGTTCACAGCTGATAGCCAAAGTAGTTTCCTGTGACAGCCTCCTGACCTCCTAATTTAAAGAATAAATCATAGACCAAGAAATAATAGTTACAAGTAATGGGAAATTTTTTCTTAGTGCTTTACAAAAACATTTTAAATGAGTCACAATGTATATATGATTTTAAATCTAACAAACAGGACATTTTCCTCCTCCCATTGTGGAAGAAGCCTTGCTATTAGTTTTGAAAACTTAAGGACCAAGACAGTTATAAAAGTTGAACTTAGATACCATTTATTTATAACCAGAATGAAAGGTTTTCTTTTCTAAAAACTTTTCCAAAATTAAATTTTAATGTTTTAAAAAAAAGAATTAAGAAATCATTGATGAGTTTTAAAATCCAATCAAAAGGTGGGAAATATTATTGTATTGTGTGTCACTTGGGCACTGACATTCTGGAGGGCCAACTGAACAGTAACGAAGATGCTACTTGTTAAACATCTGAATAAATAAATGTGTTGACATCAATCAGAATACACACAGAGGTTTAAGTATTTGCAGAATCTGATCAAAGTAATTGAACACATTTGATTGCCATAACTGTGCAGAAGTTTGAACCCTATTAATACAAATAATTACTATATAGAGAAATTTATTGTTGTGACATCATTACTATTTAGAAGATTGAAAAAAAGAAAAGTTAACCACTCAGGCATTAATGGAAGTAGCTAAAGTTCCAGCACTGACTTCAGTAAATCATGAATGAATTCAGAAAAAATGTCATTTTACAACACTGCAGCATTTTAGCTTTAGAGAATTTGTACCAGTTTTATGAAATGCACAAAGCACATCCTTACAGCTGGGCACACTGAAGTTTTAGGAAGTGCTTTCTTCCAGTTGGTTTCTCAACATTCATAACTGGACTGAAAACTTCTTTCATAGAGTTCCCTCCTCATCTTACCCCTCAGATAAGTGTAACAGCAGTGTGCAGTGGATCACATAGAGCTGTGTTCAGTGAAAATCAGTCAGATCAAGCTCCCCAAAAAATTTCTGTAATTTGTACATAAAAAAGTCTTCTGATCAGGAGACAATTTAAAATTATTTTTAAAAAATATATTTGTACACCTAATGTGGTTTAATTGGAACTAGTTTTTTGGCTGTCCTTATTGAACATGCAGCATGCATTTAAAACATTATGTGTAACAGAACTCTCCAGCAAAGTTTCAAAATTATTTAAAGCTGTACTCTGAACACTTCTTTTATATGGGGTTTATCAGTTATTTTTACAGAGCTTTAACAAATTTCCATCAAAAGCTACATAATACAGAGGAAATTAATGTTCAGATGGGAAATGTGAGACTTTTTTATTCTCTTGTTTTTGCCCAAGTTGTGCCTAAAATTGAAGACTGTCAAGACTGATCAAAATACTCCCCATAAATAAAGCAATCATTTTAGCATCAAAATAATCTGGTGCCTAAGTCAGTACATCTATTTTTATTAGTAAATTAATGAACCTGGGTGTAAATAAAATTCTTTTGCTCTTGCAAAGTGATGTGACATAATAACAAGGACCAAAAGAATATCCTTCAGATGGACAGTCACTTAGAATTACTGTAAACTTGCTGATATCAGTTTGGTGTTAATGCTGCAGCTATATTTACTCACACACTTGCAATACTTTCACACAGTGTCTAACACTAGCACTAAGCCAGGGGTCCCTTCACTGGAATAAGGAGCTGCTCAGCAAGAGACAATTTCTCACCTCACAGGGATTGATCCCCTTTATAGAAGTGTCGTGACAGAAGATGTGGAACTAAGTGCTATTAAAATATGGCTTTGTCCTTACCTATGATACCATGAAACTGAATATTTGATATACTTCAGTGTTTGTATCAGCAGAGTTAAAGCTGTGTGGACACAGGACCTGCACTGCTTGAGCAAGTCAGGGGGAACAAGGCCTGCCTGGGAGTTTTCCATAGCCATGCTGCATTCCTGCATCCTGTGAGCTGTAACACTGGCACACAAACTTAGAACAACTGTTATTGGCATAAAAAGACTACCACAACCACTGACCTAAAGCAGATTTGAAAATTAAGTTAAATTCTATTATTAATAACTTGGTGGTGCAAAAAAAAGGACCACAGTCACTGAACTAACAGTTAAGTCCCTTTAACTAACTTCTGCTGTAGTGATTAAACCACCTAAGCACAACCTGCATGCCAAAACTCATGTATTCCAAAATACTCCAGTGAGTATGGAAAGTGATGTTAGACATCTTTCAGAAAGTTTGAAAATCTAAAAAGTGAAAGCTGATAATAAAAAGTTATAGAAATTAACTACAGTAAAAATACTTTAGGAAATTAATCTGCTCTTTTAATATAATACTTCCCATATTATCCATATTATATGTCTTCTTTATGGCCATCCAAATCATATTTTAGGGTTTTTAGGGTTTAAAATGTTCATGATTAATGGTAGTCTGGAAAAATCTTGTTTGTTTGGATTGTGTTTGCATTGTTTTCATTAATGCTACATTAGCTCTACTGACATATGTCACTAAATTCTGTAACATTTGCACAAAAATTTAAAAGGGAAGAATAGGAGTGAATGGATGAAAGGAAAAGAAGCAAATGCCTTGTCAAGGGGAACTGCTGGGACTCTGAGGGAAGTCAGTCCTAATACAATTAAACTCCTATATGCTTAAGTAATGGCCACCCCTTTCTCCAATAGAGAATGAATTGTGAATTGAATAATGAATTGTTAAATTATTAGATAAAGCATTAGACACAGGTGACCAGAAACAGATGCACATACTTGTAGGATGGTTGATTTTTTACAGTACCTTGCAGACATACATTTGATGAAGCTCCAAAGCAGTCTTAAGGCCAATATCTCTGCCTGGCACTGTCCTGCAGAGAGATGCACTGGCTCTTTTGAAGCTGGCTCAGAACCCTTCAGCCTTCCCCTTGTTACAATGAGTGTCAGCTACTCCAGCTGTAAAAATTATATATATTCCTAAACATATATATATTCCTATATTCTATTAGGGTGATCATTTGATTACTGATTTTTTAGCATTTATCAAGATGACTGGAGTGTCCTGGGGTTCTCTGTTGGTGCAGTCTGAACTGCAGTTTTGCAAACCATTGTACCTGCAGCCCCACTCACAGGAAAATAATGCAGGAAAAGAGGTGGCTCATGTGAGACTGGCAGTGACTTGTGTAAGACTGAAGAACAGTCAAAAGAACTGTGAAAAACAGAGTGGAAGCTGGGGGTTTCATTAATGTGAATTCGAGCTCAGAAAATCACAGAATCACTGAATCATTAGGGTTGGAAAGGACCTCTGGAGACCATCGAGTCCAAATCCCCTGCCAAGGCAGGGTCACCTGAAGCAGGTGACACAGGAATGTGTCCAGGTGGGTTTGGGATGTCTCCAGAGGGGGAATCTCTCTGTCCCAGGAACCTCCCTGGGCAGCTGTTCTGGGACTCTGCCACTCTTAATATAAAGAAGTTCCTCGTGTTGAGGTGGAACTTCTTGTGTTTCTGTTTATGGCCATAACTTTTCATCCTACTGCTGGGCACCACTGAAAAGAGTCTGGACACATACATATAAATACAGAGATTAAGATAAAAAATCCCAAAACCTGATACAGAATGTCAGAGATGAAGAGGTGGGTTTTTTTCATCATCATGCTTCATAGCTTATTTAGTGTTGTATTTTATTAAACAGATTTCTAATGCAATACAAATTTCTTTTAACATGAATGATAAGACATAATTGTCCATTTTCCCAGTTTGCCTACTAAGAAGCCAATATCCTCTCCAACACCTAATGCTGCAAATCTCAGCAGTTCTGGGAATATTCTCACATGACAGGCCTCATTTTATCTTCTCATTAATCTCTGTTCCACTGAAGTCAGTGTGTTGCTGAAGGAAAAGCCAGGGCATATCCAGTATATATTCTTACAGGTGTTCATCTAGGAACTGGGAAATCACCCAAAGTTAAATTGTAACTCAGTAAGGATCTTCAAAAAGTGTTTTTTACACTGCATAATGCTTTTGTAGAAAGCTCTAAACCTAAATTCCAGCTAACTGATTTACCATATTCTAAATATTTTTTCATTCATTCCTTCTTTTCTATTCTATACAGATGATCAGCTAAAACTTTACACTCCAGCCCACAGACTGTAATGTAAATTGATCTTAAGTGACATATAAGTCTTTTACTGG